TGAGCGGCAGAGCCAGGACTAGAAACAGGTCTCCTGGTACCTGGTCACGCCTCTTCCCATGACACCAATCTGTTCAAATAGCCACCTGTGGTGGAGATGAATTCTCCAAATAATTGCGTCACTCCTCAGCTTCCGTTCAGCTTCTGGAGATGAATCTAGAAGGCCAGGACTGTGCTTGCTTCCTGAAGAGTCTGGGACAGGGAGAAGGGAGCCCACTCCCTGGACACAGAGCAACACAGAGAATAGTCAGGACACCAGTAGCTCTCCTTCGGTCCCATTGACTGTGGGCGGGGGCCAGGGTGGGAGTCACAGATAAAGGCAAATCACAGTATAGACACTGCGTGACCTGTATCTTCCCACCAAACAGGTGTGGATGCCCATGTGCACACACACACACACACACACACACACACACACATGCACACCCTTCTCTCTCCTCTCTCCTCAAGCCCTGGGAGAAGCTGCCACAAGTTTGGGTGGTTGGACTTGTGTCTCTGATTTGGCCTGGACCAGAAATTTCATGGCTTTTGGACAGTGTGTTTGAGGGAGGGGAGCAGGGAGAAAGCAGCTTGCACAGGAAGAGTTACGAGATGTCTGCCTCTACGCATCAGCCCCTTGCTGTTGTCCTGGCTGCTGGGGGAAACAGTAGCCGGCACCCTGTGTCCTCCACCCAGGAGCTCTCCTCAGCGTGCCATGTCACCCACCTTGCTGCAGGGAGGCACCTATTTTTAGCCTGAGGTGAATGAGCTCTGCAGTCATCCAGACCTCATTCCCTTGTGTCTTTTTGTCACAGCTGCTGTGACTGGATGGGGACCAAGTCATAGGGAATGTCTCGCAACCAAGTTACCCCCATGCCCTTCCTCACCTTCCTCAGAGAAGCCTACTGCATGGCAGTCACTCATGCAGCCAAGCGTGGCAGAGCGGAGGAGTGGGCAGTGAGAGGGGACCACCCCTCAGAGGGCAGTATTTTATCACCGATATTGTTTAGAATTCCTTGCACACTTATAGTTTTATTATTGCTTTTAACTTTTCTATAGACAGTTTGCCCCCTTCTTGAACCGGAGGGGGAGGGGGACCACTCCTATGACCCCACCCTTGGAGATTCATTGCTTGGAAGTGAAGACTGAGGCCCTGGGTCCCGGCAGACATAGGAAGCCAGGCTTCACCACTCACTAGCTGTCTGACTTGAACAAGACCCTTAGTCACTCTGACACCTGACCTCTCCCGGGTCACCCAGGCTGGCAATCGATTACAGGATGTGAGGGCAGGGAGGGCACCTGGGTGTCATCAAGTGCCTCTACTTTATTGATGGGGAAATGGAAGCGCAGGAATGGCTGGGGGCTTGCCTGTGCTGGTGCCAGAGACCCCTCAGCAGCAACATCCAGATTTTTTTTATCATCCGTGGATAAAAAAAACAGTAAAAAGAAGGTGCCAATGAGAAGGCCCCTACTGGTCAGAACTATGTGCATCTCAGTCCAGTATCCCAGCACCTGGAACCTAATAGTACAAGGTGGTGACTTACTCTGTGGGCCACCTGTGTCAGTTCACCTGCATCACCTGGGTGCTTATTAAATTTACAGACCCCTGGGCTCCACTCTGAGGTTTGACCTCCAGCACTGCCACCCACTAGCTGTGGGACTTGAGGGGTAACAAACTATCTGTGCCTCAGTTTCCTCACCTTTGAAACAAGGCTAGACCTACTTGTGCAGTGTGAGGAACAATGCAGTTATGTGGGGGAGGGGGAAGCACAGTGCCTGGCACATTGGAACTATGCACTGGAGTTCCTAGTGTGGGTTTCTGACCCCAGCCTGGGTGCTTGGGCCATGGCTCCAAGCGGCTCCTGGGAGGCAGACACCTTCCTGTTCCAGATCAGCCTACAGCTGTCACCTGCTGTGACTTCCCGGTCTGCCTCTGCAAATCTCTGCTGATCAGTGGCACTGCTCAGACTAGGACTCACATCTCAAGACCTTGCACAATCTGCCAAGGAGCCCCACCCTGTCCCCCACACAGCTTTTAGACACAGACGGCACTCAGCACAAAAGGGCCGGTCCTATCCCTTCTCCTCAAGTTTCTGGGACTGAGCCCAATGCATGTCAGTGCTTTTTAGAAGCAGAACACTTTTCCAAACAAAACCTGACAGAGCACGGGCCCCAGTGCCTACGACTAACACAAGCTGCACTCTGTGCTTAAATTTATTTTCCAAGTTCAGATTGCCAACATGTTACTGTGTTACTGTAAAGTCTGTGTGAACACTAATGGGCTGCAATGTGTGAAAATCATGTATCACTTCTAAATGTGCATGGTGATGCTTATTACAAATATTCAAGTAGTTTAAAATACACTTCAGAAATTATATTTGAATTGAGCGTTGACAAAAGTCACGAAGCTCCCCTGCAAAATGCCAGGGTTTGCTTTAGTACCATCTTTGACCCTGGAGAATTCCAAAGGTCTTTGATTGGGTAAGGAGACTGAGGTCCGGGTGGGGGACAGAACTCCCCCTGTAATGGGCCACAGCAATGAGAACCCAGGCTCCACTGAGTCCCAGGCCAGGGCTCCTTGTCCATGTCCACATTCTCAGCCTGACCAGCAGGGTGGGCTGCTCACGGGGTTAGGAGCCCAGCACACGTGGCTCCGGCCACTGGCCAAATTGATTTTACTCAAGTGACAAAGACTATTTATGACTCTCAGTGTGGCTGATAAGTTGGTGGGGACAAAGGCAGGCCCCAAGGTAGAAGGTGTGTGGGCCCCATATGGGAGCAGAAAGGGATGATGCTAGAAGGCTCTGGATTGCCTCACCTTCGGCAGCTATACTCTTAGTTCAGCCAAATTCTCACTCTGCAAACAGTAACCAAGGTTTCCAGTGCTCTGAGATCCTCAGATAAGAGGCTGCAAAGAAATGTAAATTATTACTGTCACTGATGACAAGTTTCCTCTCTGGCCAGCAGCCTCTTGGGCTGGGCCCAGTCCAGTTCCTGACCTCAGAAAGAGGACCCCTGTGCAGGAGACTAGTGATGCCCAGAGCCCTTGGGCCCCAGAGCCAAGCCCAGGGCTTCCTAACCAGAGGAGAAGCCCTGCTCAGCTGTCTTTCCCACGACATCCTGCCCCACCACACCCGGCACACAGAACACTGCTTCTAACGGCAGGACAGTGGCTGCCAAGGTGCTGAGTCACTGCCTTGCTGTCAGTTGGCGCTCCCTACCCTGAGAAAGGGATCCTGAGAGGGTGCAAAGCACCTATGCCAACAGGCCTGTGCTGACCTGCCCAATCCTGCTCTCGGGGAGGGGCTGTTTCCAACCTGGGAGGGAGGGGCAGATGTCTAGCAGGGTGGGAGATCTCCCTGACTCTCAGCCACAGCTCCCTGCTGGACAGCACCTCCCGGGGGGCCTCAGGGTGCATGATCTTGTTGGAGTCCAGCTCCATCTGCGGGGATGGAGTCAGGCAGCATCTGCTCTGCACCCCCAACCCCAGGCCCATCAGAGGAGAGGAGGGGAGGAGGTACAAAGTGCCTGAAGGTCCTTTCACCACCGCTTGGAAGTTGCCTTTTTTCTTTTTGTAAAGCTACATGCAAACAGCTTTTTAAAACTAAACAGAAACAACATTCATGCCTCCTCTGATCCCTTTCACCCAGTTCTCCTGTCCCCTGTATCCCTTCCCTGAAGCAACTGCTGTTACCAGTGTGGGGGTATTCTTCCAAAGATATTCTATGCATCTGGAAGTACGTGTGTGTGTGTGTGTATGTGAGTCTATCCTTTTATACTCTGTGTAAATGTGAACAAACTACATATATTTTTATGGAACTTTTATCTGAATTTTCATATAATAATGTGTTTTAGAAATTGATTCATACTGGCAGCTGGGATCCGTGCTTTTTTCTAATGGCTGTAGGCAGGGCCCCAGACCGACCTTCAGTGAGTCTTCAATCTTTCGCTCCTTTGATGAACACTCTTGTGAATCTATTTTAACTCTGTATGTCCTACACATATGGGGTGCTCGGTCCATCCAGGGCACTGGGGAAGGGGCCGTGGGGGACAAGGGGATCACATGGCACGGGAGAGCACCTGGCTCTCACGCAGGGCAGGCTGGTCCCCCCATGACCTTTAGGGAGGCTGCATGTGAACAAAGCTGCAGTAACAGTTTAAAGAGGAAGTGGGCAAGGTGGATGAATGAGATTCTTTCTTTAAATTATTTTAACAAGGCCTTTTCTGATTATAAAGTAAATTGTACTCACTACAGGAAATTTGGAAAACACCTAACAGATGTGAAAATAAAAGTCACTTGGAATCCCACTCATCTAGAAGTAACCACTAGTGTTGTTTAGTGTATATCCTGACAGTCTTTTTTTCTAGACACACAGAGGATTTCTGGGGGTCCAGGGGAACGTGAAGGAAGGGCACACAGGGAAGGTCCTCTCTGAGCAGAGGTGTGCTGTGGGGAGCACCAGACTCTCTGGGAAAACAGCTAGAGTCAAAGGCAGGAGGCAGCAGGAGATGGTGGGGGTGGGGTGGGAACAGGGACTGCAGACTCATCCCACAGGTGAGCCTGAGAGTGGCAGGGAAGAGTTTGCCCCTCGCTCAATGGGCACCAAGGAGCCACTGCAGGCATTTGAGCACAGGGCCGCTAAGATCAGCCTGGCAAGAGATCTGAGGATATGACTTTGAGATTTTGGCGAGATAGCTAAGAAAACAGCTCATCAGGCCTTCGGAAGAGCAGGTCTGGAGTTCCAGAGGGAGGTCACCTCTGGAAATATTCACTTGGGGGTTGTAAGGAGAGAGGAGAGATGAGCCCTGAGTGTGAATGAGATGGTACGGGAGAAAGGTGTGGGTGGAGGTAGTAGGATCTTGGTTGCATCCCAAAGATGCTGCTCATCAACTGTGTGGCTTTGGGTGATTTATTTAGCCTCACTGGGTCTTGGCTTTTCCAACTGCAAGTAAAGATGAAACTAATACACCCATGTCAAAGGGTCAGCGTGAGGATTACAAGAGGTGGCAAGGCTGAGAGCCTGGTATGGTGCCAGGAGTTCCCAATAATTGTTGACAGACAACAAAGTGAGAGCAAAGAAAGAGCAGAGGTTAAAACTGAGGCAGAGGGTGCGAGGAGAAACACAAAAGTTCCAGAGGAGAGGAGTCCTCCGGACAGGAAGAGAGTGGCCCCAAGGCAGAGCAGGGCCTCACGATTTCAGCAGGAAGAATTGGTGACAGTGCCAAACACTGCCTGGGGTCCAGGAAGGGCTCAAGGCCCAGAAGATTCCTGGTGAGTGACATCTCCAGAGCCTTTGCCATGGCGATGTGGAAGGACAGAGGCTGAGAGGCCAAGGGGTGGTAGGAGATGAGGAAGTCTGGGGGGTGAGGTTACAAGTCTTTTTTCGAGAAGTTTGGCAGTGTAAGGAAAGGGGAGAGTCCTAGCTCAGGGGGAAAGTGGGGAAGAGGGAAAGAAGTGCCTCGTTTGGGTTGGAGGGTGTTTCATGTTTATAGGCTGAGGAGAAGAGATTAGTAGATGTTCTCAGGGAGAGGAAGTGGCAAGATGTACACCACCTCTCCAGGCTTCAGTTTCCTCACTTAAAATAATCAGAGTGTGGATAAGGGCTCTCTGAGGCCCTGCTGGCTTTTTAGCTCTTTGATTCATTGGTCCCCACATGCATCTACCCAGCTATTGGCCTTTCAACAAACACTGTCTGTAGACCTGTCTCTGGGCAAGTAGGAAGAGGGGGGCCTGAGGGAGGGGTGCAGGGAGGGGACAGAAGGAAGCAGATACCAAGGCCCCTCTCTCCAGGGGCCTGTGCTCGTGGGGAGAGTAGAGAAGCAATCAAGCAGCAAGAGAGCCACAAAGTCACCCAAAGACCCATAGCCTTGCAGCCCTTTGAAATGACGTTCTGGCATTTACCCAAACCCCTACACCCTGTTCCTGGTCTGTTCCATCCCCCGGCCTTTGAGAACATGCCCTGACTTACCATTCCACTGAGGATCTGGGCACTATGCTGGGTCCATGGAAGCAGTCAGTGTACTTAGCATGTCCACTTATTCCGTGAGTACCTACTGGTCACCTACAATGTGCCAGACATGGGAGGTGACAGTGAGCAAAAGAGATCTCTGCCCTCCTTGAATTGGTTGGGGAGCAAGACCATTAAATAGTGACACTTAAATTTATAATTGCAGCTGTGCTGGAAGAGGGCAGGGCTGTTCCAAGGGTTGGGGCCTCAGAAAAGACCTCTCTGAAGAAGTGACATGGGACCTGAAAGAAGAGATGTGGGCAGCATTCCAGGTAGGGGCCCAGGACACAGCCCTGCAATGGCAGGGAGGGAGGGAGGGGGAGATGTGAGGGGAGGGGAGACAGGGCAAGAGGGGGGACAGAGGCCTCAGGGAAGGCAGTGGGTGGGGGGCAGGGTCTACAGCCAAGGGAAGGAGAGTGTTCTTTATCCGAGAGCTGTGGGAAGCCCTGCAACGGTTTAAGTACAGAGAGGACATGATGGGTTTGGTTTCAAAATGATCTTGAAGGAGCAAGTTGCAGATGGGAACATGTAGTGTGAGCCTATCATACATACTGCATGTTGGGACTTTAATAGGGGCCGGCTTTCACCCTTTACTTTAGACATGTCTATAATAGTTTTAGCAATAACCCTGCTGTGACTTTGTTATCAGGGGGAAAAGAAATACCTAAGATTATAAAACTACAAAACAGCTCAGGGAAGGCAGGAGTGAATGCCTTGAGGCTGATAAAAGGCCCTTGCTGGCCCAGGATGGTGTGAATTGTACCCAAACCAGACAGGTGGAGGGTGGGGGTTGCTGAGCTCTGGAGCTGGTATGAGCTGGTTTTGCGTCCCTTGGATGCTCTCTGTCCCCTGGCAGGTCTCCTCCAGGGTACTTAGACAAACAGGCCCAAAGGGGGCTGTCTATCTCTCTGCCTGGAAAACCTACCCTTCTAAGATGTACAAAGGGAAGAAGGAGGCCTTTAGGCCTGAGAAGGAGACCCCATTTCCTGACAATTTTTCCAAACACCAGAGCAGCAGGAGGTGCCTCCCAGCCAGCCCCACGTCTCCCTCTGAGCTAACCTTGGGAAATGGGACCTCTCCCTAGAGCCTGTTGTTCTCAATCCCCAGCAAAGGCTGGGCCTGTGGGGAGTGTTCTGTTGACAGTGCCCAGCAACCAGGGCTGCTGTTTTAGCAGGAGGTTGGAGTCCACGGTAGGAAGGCCCTGCCCAAGGCGTCCCAGCTTCTATGGAGCAGACAGCAAGCCGCTGGAGCCCATGTGGGGGTTCCCGTAGCTCTTTCCCCTTCAGGCAGACTCCCTGAGAGGGGAAGGAGCAAATGCAGGTTATGGGATCTTTTGGAAGTCACCAGGGGTGCCCACCAAACGGCAGGGAGGCCAGGACCCCTGTGTTCCCCTGGGGCGGGGAGTGGGGGCAGTCAGGCTGCCTACGAGTGTCACCGGCTATGTGGAAAGAGGAGACGAGGCCTCTGGCAGCCTGGCTGGGACCCTCCTGCAAGTAGTCAGTGTCTCCTGTCACGGGAACTGTACTTGGGAGCAAACATCTGGAAGGGCTGTGGGTTATCCTGAGTCCCCAAACCTGAGAGCTACAGCCCAGATATCAGACTTTGGAAGTGGAGGGCAGAGGAAGGACACGTGAGCTTTAGCAGTGTGACAGATCCAGTTTCACACCGCGATCTGCCTCACATTCCTTGCCCCGGAGAAGGGAATGATGCCCCCATGTCATGGCCTGGCAACTGGGGTTGAACATGGTGGCCTAGTGGAGGGCCTGAGCATAGCTCCCCTCCCCCTCTATCATTCCCTCCGCTCTGTGACCTATTTCCACCTCCACACTCCATGTCCAGGGACCCAGATTCTCATCCAGCAGCCAGGGGCAGGCCTTGGGTCGGTCACTTCCTCCCTGGATTTTAGTTTCTTCATTTTATGAAAGTAGGGGCTGTGTGGAAAGTCCAAAGGCAGGAAAAGTATCATTTCTGATCTGCATGCACTTTTTGCTTCATCTAAGGTATGCAGGCTCGGGCCTGGGCTGATGGCCACATGCCCCCTAAATCCCAAATGACTGAAACCTTTTTGTTTTTCTTGAGAACTGATCGCAAAAGATGTTTTCAGCCACAGACAGGAGACCTTCCAGTTGCCTCAGCCTGGCCCAGATTAGATATTTTCTGGAAGAAGTGGTGGGTTGGTGGAGGGAGGTGAGGCAGGAGGTAGGGAAGCTGCAGAGGGTCGTCTTCCAGGGGGCTAAGGGACCAGACAGATCTCTGATAAGTAACTCCGGAACTGATAACATCTTTATTGCTTAGAAACCTAGTTTCTGGAACTCTGCTCTATAAAATACTAGCACAAGTGTGCAGATATACCCAAGAGCACGTTTATCACGATTGCTTCTCTTGGTAAAAATGAGAAGCAACCCGAACAAACATACAGAACATGCTGCCAAAGGTACCCAGAACAACCTGGAAAGTGGGCCATGTGAAAAAGCAAGTGGCAGAATCCACTGTATGGTGGGAGCTCATTTTATTACTATACATGCCTTGTAATATATAACTGAGCATAGTTCTACACACACACACACGTTTTTAAGCATAAAAATCCCAGAGGAGCACATAGTGAACTATTAAAGGCAGTTACCTATAGGGTGGAAAAAATTTTTTGTTTCTGTTATATACTTCTGCACTGTACTTTTTGAATTTCTTAAAATTAGCACCTATTAGATCTGACTTAACACCTCCCCTGCCCCAGTAATCAAGAAAGGAACTGGAGAGGGTCAAATGGTCAGTCTTGTCCTAGAAGCAACCAGAGGAAGTGAGACTCACAAGACAAGGTCCATGTGGCAGCAAAACCCCCACAATATTCTGAGCCAGTGAAGTGGGGAACCATAAAAACAGGGGGTAGGGGAGAGACCACTCTTTCTCTGGTGACCAGGGATCCCATTGGTCTATCCCTCTCTCCGCCAGCGCCTGCCCAGGCCCCGCGTTCACTCAGGGACTGTGCTCCTCGGAGAAGATGGCGCCGGAAGGCTGGCTCTTCAGGAGACAAGACGTGTGACCATTAACCACCATGCAAGTCCTGGGCATTTTGAAACATGCTGTTTCTTCATTCTCGGATACCCAGCAAAGGAGCTCCTTCAAATAATTAACCAAGTAGTTATAATAGTAATGCTCACCATTTGTTACGCTTGTGCTAAGTACATTGCCATTTATCATCTTATTTTATCCCAAACAGTGTCCTATAAGGTAGATGGTTCCATCCTTTAATTCCATTTCCCAAATAAAGAAAATGAAGCTCATGCCACATGTAACTTTCTGAAGGTCTCATAGCCACAGAGGGCAGATGCTGAATTCAGGCCCACACACCCTGATCCTGGAATCCACCTCAGAGCCACCATTCAGTGACCTCCTAGTGACACATAGAAAAGTAGACACCAGCAGTTTTTATGGACCATGACTTCTTGGTAAAGTAACCATTGGCTTGACCATAGATATTTCACAAGAAGAAGCTGAGGGTTTGGTTGAGTGATGTCAGTGGCTGGAGTCAACTAAACCAAATAACTACTAAAATGTGATGCCTGGTAATGCCACATGAGTTGGTTACTACCCACATTTCAAAGAAAGTGGAAAAAAATAGTCCCAGTCCACCATGTGGCTCAGCTGGCCGTAGCACACACTTGGTTATAGAAGGTCAACAGAGAATAATGATATAACCAAAATTACCATGTATTCCAGTATTGGGAAGATAGAGGCAGGGGATTAGGTGTGATACACAGAGGAGGTAAAACAAACAAACAAAAAAATGCCTTATCTCTCAGGACAGGAAATCAGCAAATCATTCCTCAAACTGCAAAGATGAAGAAGAAACCAGATGAGATGTTATTTAGAGATGTGAAAGTGAATGTTCCAAAGAATCAGCTTCAAGAGGGGCAAGGGACTCTCCCTGGAGATGAACCAGGGCTGCAGTTGTTCATAAGTAACTTTGTAGGAATAGTTGACTCTCCTTGTTATATTCATGAATAACATTGATTTTTTAAAAAATACTGCAGTATTCCTGCAAAGGCAGAAGGTTGGCCTGGACACCCTCAGATACCCCTCAGCCCGGGTTGTGCTCCTGTCACTCTGGCGCAGGGTCCCTGAGCCCTTCTGACTGCGGTTTAGCCCACAATGACCTCTACAGTGGAGCAGAGGCTGGTGTTGGTCAAGACCTCCACAAGATGTAGGCTCGGTGCAGCTGCCCAGGGGGCTCTGTAGGAATTCTGGCCATGGGGCTCCATTCAGATGGGAAAACAGCTCAGCCTACCGTCCTGCTTCAGCCTGGGCTCTGAACTCTCCCTGTCTCTCTCAGTATGGATTCAGATGGCACATGCCTCCTCTGATGCTCATCTTACATCTCCCTGGGTACCCCTGTGTCTTGCACCATCCCATTGGGATTTCCAGCCAAGAGACATCATTGCACACATGGTCCCCAACCCCCTGATTCTGACTCTCTCTCTGACCCCAAGGGTTTCACCAAAACCTTTCCCATTTTTCATTTTCTTCTATCTTCACAAGCTTTGGACAGATGTCAAGGAAGGACAATTATCTTCATTTTAGAGATGGACAAAGTGACCCAGAGAAGCAGAGTGACTCACCATTATTGCCTGCCCGGTTTAGTCATCCCCATCTAGCCCTCTGTCTCCAGACTTACCTTCCTGAAGCCAGATTGGCCTGGGTATTTCCCCATTCAAACCTTCCTGGCCATTTCCCTGTACCCACCAAATGAAGAGGCCTCAGATGACCCTTCTGTGTGACCGCTCCCATGTCCCTCTGTACACCCTACCTTGTGACTGTCAGACAACCCACTGTTCCCAGGACGTGTTTCCCTACCTCAGGGACTTTGCTCATGTTGTATCCTCTGCCTGCTATTTTCTCCTGTCTTTGACTGTCACAGTTGAATTCATCCTCCAAGATCTAGCTCAAATGTCAGCACCTCCTTAGCCCCTCATCCCCCGTTCCCCAACAGGCATCAATTGCTTCTTTCTCTGCACTTACTTAGCAAGTTGCTCCTGCCTCTTCTGGTGCATCAGTTTCACTCTGCCTGGAGCTGCTGAGCGTTTGCACAAGGTCATCTCTCCCAGGGTCTGCGAGCAACTTGGGAGCCAGACCCCAACTTAGTCCTCTTTGCTCTATGACCTTGAGAGGTAACTTGAACTTTTTGATTTATAAAATGGGGATGACACCAGCCCTTGCTGGTTGGGGTGAGGATTAAGCAAAGCCCCCAGCCCAGTGCCTTCTGCCTCCATTTGGAGAATGACTATCAGAAATAACTTTGAAGCAAGTCAGTTAGAGCCAGGTATACCTGGGACCCCGAGCTCGTCCCATACATCCTTCTCCAAAATGCATAAACCCCCTGGGGAAAGGAGAGCACTGTGGCTCTCCAAGGCAGCTCTACATACTGGAATCACCAGCGACCTGTTGCATTACAACCCCTGGGGAAGTTTGCTGAAAATGCAGAGTACCAGGCCTCCCCTCAGACCTCCTGAACCAGATTTCTGGGGGTGGGAGCCGGGAACATGTGTTTTTAACAAGCTTCCCAGGGGATTCAAACACAACAGCTCTGGTCACACTGGGTCATAGTGAATTTGGAGGGTGGGGGTGGGAACAGGATGACCACAGCTTCCTTTTTTGCTCAGGTGACAGTAGAGGTGGCTATAAGGGCTAATGGTGCCAACAGCCAGTGCTATTTCCATCTCCAACCAGCTTCCCTTTGAGTCTCCGCCCAGGGTCAGATACAGGCTGATCCACAGTCAGTCTAGGTTACCGAATTTACCTCTGTCTCCCCCAGCCATTGCAAAGTACCTGGCCCTGGCTGGGCGCTCAGCAAATATTTGTTGAACCAACTGAACTTCCCTGGGGCCAACTCTGGCCAGCTATGGCCCCTGAGGACCTAGCCTACTGGGCTAGACCCTACCCCCATCCTTCCCCTGGGCCTATCTCCCCACAGATCCAGCGGGGGCTGCCTGACTGGCTCCATGGGGAGGGGGTGTATGTGGGGGGTGTGAGCAGAGGAGGAATCTTTGGTCCTCAGCCCAGGGAGCCATTCCCCATGGAAGGGAATCTGGGGACAGAGGTTAAGTGTCTGGAGAACCACCCCCACCCAGCAATAGAACGGATGGCAATTAGCAACAATTTACTGAGTTAAGACCGTATACTCTTAGAGCTCACCCAGGGCTTCTCAGCAACAGATGCACATTCGAATATCTGAAAAGGTTTAGAAAATACCTATGCTTAGCCCCACAGATCAAAAGAACCAGAACTTTTGGAGTGGTGCCTGAGCACCAGTATTTCTATAAAGCAACCCGGGTAATTCTGTTGTGTGGCTAGAACTGAAAAACAGCTGAATGGGCCCCTCCTTTCCTCTCCTTTCTCCTCCCAGTGCTTGCCGGGTGACATTACCCAGACATCGTAATAACGAACACAAATCGTAAGTAGTGAGCCCCTTCTGTGAGCCGGGCGCCACACTGGTTACTGCATCTGTAACAGGGGCTATGCTAAACTTGGCCCCTGCCCTCACAGGGCCCAGGAGAAGCCCCTACCTCAGCCTCTGAGGGTCAGCAGGGATGAGGGGAGGCTTTCTGAAGAACATAGATGCCATACAGAGGTGTGATAGACAGGTGGGACAGGTCGGGGTAGCCAGGGGCAGGCAGGGTAGGAAAAGTGAGGCAGGCAGGTGAGACACCAGCAGGGAAGCCCTGAACCAAGAAAGAGCTTGGATCATGGAGGAAGTGAAAGAGGTTCAGGTCCAGTGCACTGTGGGTGGAGGGAGTCCCATAGCGATGGAGAAGCAGAAGGTGCTGATCGTACCGAAGTGTTTGAGCCATGCTGCAGAGGCCAATTTTGATCCTAAAAATAATAAGAAACTAGGATGGATTTGTAGATGGGAGGGGAGAGGTCTGCAGATTTGTTTAGTCTGCCTTTGGTGCCGATGGGTTGGAGATGGGGAAAGTGGTGTGGGGAGACCAGTCAGGAAGCTGACAACAGCCTAGATTGGACATGGTAGCTGTCCAGACGCGGGTGGAGCTCAGAAAGTAAGGAGGTGGGCAAACTCAAGAGCTGCAGAGGAAGTGGCATTAATGGGGCCTACTGATTGACAGGAAAAGGGGAAGAGTGGGTGCTCAGGATGATGCTTGAGTTTCTAGTTTACACAGCTGGGTGGGTGGGGTGCCATGTACTGAGCTGTGGACCCAGTAGAGCTGCAGGTTACAGAGGGAGATGAGGGGTTTAGTTTGAAGCCTGTTGAGTTTGAAGATCGAAATTGTCTGGCTATAGCTGTTCCTCCCGACAGACCCAGAAAGGTAGCTATATAGGTGTGGAGGGATGGGAAGATGTCCGGAGACTGTTCTCAGTTAACCTCCAGCACCAGCTCTTCATATGACGCCGGACAAGCCCCTCACTTTCTCGGGAGCCCTCTTGTGACAGGAGGGATTGGCCTTCCAGGTGCTGCACCACTTGGGCCTTAGAGCTCATCTCCACCAGTGGTGCTTCCGGGATGGCACGCCAGTGCATCTCGGAGGAGAAGGGCTGTTGTTCTGCTCCTCTCGTCCAGGATGTTAACCAGGAAGGGGGCCTGTGCCCCAGGGAGCTGGTGAAGTGCAAACAACTTTGAGTTGGCAGCAGCATCCTGTTCCTCCAGCAGAGCCTCCCTCTGGGTGGTAGGCTCCCAAAGGTCCCTGGGCAACCTCGCCTCAGACCCAGGAGGCTCTGAGTGCCAGGGCTGCAGAGAGACCTGGGCCCAACCAAGTTCTGCTTCTGCTTCTTCAATCACCTGGTCTTCCCTCCTCCTCATCTCCCTTTCCTGCATGCCTCAGAGATCGGAGGGCCAGATTTAGGGGTAACACAAAGGAAGACCCATTTACATTTGAATTTTAGATAAACACCAAATACTTTTTAAGTACAAATACGCCCTGGGAAGTATTTGGAACTTACTTATAATAAAAAGTAAATTTGGCATTTATCTGAAATTTAAATTTAACTGGAAATCTGTATTTTATCTGGTAATCCTACCCAAAGGAGACTCCAGGAACCAGCCAATAATCCCAAGAGAGGAATGGGATGCCCCACTTCCTCCAACCAGAGGCTGTTGAGAACTTGTCATTCCCAAATCCTTGACAAGCTGCAGCCTTCACCAGATGTTCGGACTGGCTTTGGAGACAGGGTATCTTTGGAAAGGTGTTACGCCTAATTAACTTAATAAGCAGATTGTAAGCTCTGACCGGAACTGGCAGAGGATTCACCCTGACAGATGGAGAGGAATGGGTCAACCTTGCTGCAGGCACCTGCTGACAAGCTGCTGGCTATGGCCTGTGCAGGAGCTAATAGGAGGCTTTGACTTCACATCAGGTAGAAAGCAAGCAGAAGTTACACCAATGTCACATTACCAGTGACAATAACTGCCATTTATAGAGCCCTGACTATGTGCCAAGCACTGAGCAAGCATTATCTCATTTAATTCTCATACCAACTCTAGAAGGCAAAAACTATTATTACCCCCATTTAACAGATGATGAAACTGAGGCCTAAGAGGCTGAGTAACCAGCCCAAGGTCACACAGCTAGAAAGGGTAGAGATGAGGGTTTGAACCTAGCCACTTGGACTTCAGAGTCAGCGCTTATAGCCACTGATAGCTTGGTTCCTCCCCGACCCTTTATCCCCACCCCCAATCATTTCCAAGACCTTTGTGACATATATACAGTGAAATGGAAGGCAACTTCAGTCATTCATTCCACCAACTTTTGAATTGTTTTCTTTGCTTGAGACATGCCCCCCACCCTCCACTGACCACAGGGATATGGTAGTCTGGTGAGGGAGACAGATATCAATAAATTATTGTTGAAAAAATGAAACAAAGCATATTCAACGAAACTGCGTAAGTGTTATAACACAGTGTTGCTATCAAGAGAGGCAGAGCATGCTGGTTAACAGCCTGGGCCCCAGAGCCAGGCTGCTTGGGCAAAAGCCTCCCTTCTTTTACTAGCTGTATGACTTTGGGTAGTTTACTTAGCTTCTCAGTGCCTCAGTTTCCCTGCCTGCAAAATGGGAATAATATTACCCTTCTCACAATGTTGTAAGGATTAAATGAATTAATATTTTAAAAGCACTTAGAGTTTGCCTATACACAGTAAGCACTTTATTCAACAAATATATATTGAGTGATTGCAATGTGCCAAACACTGATCTAGGATATTGGGACACATCAGTGAACAAAATAGACAAAATACCTGCCTTTGAAAAGTTTTTTTGTTGCTTATATTCTAATGATAGCTATTATTATTTTTAAATGAATACTATTAATAAATAGTTATTTTTAAATGATCTGTTACTATATAATAAAATCCAGAGGGCACAAAGCAGGGAGATATTTAATCTGCTGAGTTGGCACAGGACATTTCCTGTGGCTTCAGAGATGGATGGGTGAGATTATTTTAAACCTACACTGGGTCTGAGGTTAGGAGTTGAGTTGAGACTACAGATAACCTACCAGTCACAAGGCAGATGGGTTGAAAAGCTGGGGAGCCAGTGGGTCTGTGAAGTTCGGGGCATGGGTAAGCCCAGCTGTCAGCAGCTGGGTGGGCATGGGGATGAAGGGTAGGGTGGTCTGCCAGGTTGGGACTGAGAAGATTAGGAGCTGGTCTTTTTCTGAGAATCCTTTGTGAAACTCTGGTCTAAGGAGAAAGCCTAGTCCTGAGTAAGTGGTTAAAATCAAAGGCTAATGTGGCAAGTGAACCTGGCAGGACAGGGGAGGAAATCAGCTGTAGCTTCTGGCAGCTCCGACAGACCAAATGCTAACCACAGGGTTCCAGCCACAGGCCCAGGATACTCCAGGGCTCCAAAGACTTCTAGGGACTCCCACCCCAACCTCGGCCTCCCCGCCCTGACCCCAGCCCTGGCACACACCTGTTCAGGAGAGAATGGCTTTGGATTTGCCACCTGTCATGGTGCCTGCCGACGGAGGCCACTGGAAGCCCCATGGAAACCCAAGCTGTAGTGAAGATTAGAAGGGGACAGAGGGGGACAGGCAGGTGTGCCTTGGACAGCCCTGAAAACAAGGGCTCCATTCTCCTGTTCTCATTGTCTCTGGAGAGAGGGAGCCAATGGCTGAGAATAGGGATGTCACAGGTCCAACAGGACAGCCCCCTCCCCTGGCCCATGTGCAGGATGTGGGGGCTTGTAGCACAGCAGGGAGTTTAATGTGTGGTCAGTAAGGGCCAGGGAGGCTCCTGGGACTGCTAACTGTTTGGAGACACACAGATTTAAACTTTGGCTAATGAAAGGTGTATGGTTTAGGGGACTAAGGGGAATTCTGGCCCACTGGTAGGTAGCTGGTGCCTGCAGTGTGTGAATATGGCTATGTATGTGCCTGCACCCAGGAGGGCACATCTGCTTGGCCTGTCTGGGTGCCTATGCCTGTCCATCTCTGGGTGGATCTGTGTGCACCTGTCAGGATGCCTGCTGTATGTGAGTCTGTGTATACATACACAAACATGGTTTGTATGTCAGGCAGCAAGGACCTCTACTGAACAAGTCAGAAAATGAAGATTCTCTGGGGTCTCCTCCCAGCTAGGCCTCTCATGGAGTGGGCCCTTGGGGTCTGTCCTGCTTCTGGGCCTCCCCTGCCACATAGCCTGTTGGTCAAGCTACAGTTCGGACTGGCTTTGGAGACAGGGTATCTTTGGAAAGGTGTTACGCCTAATTAACTTAATAAGCAGGTTGTAAGCTCTGACCGGAACTGGCAGAGGATTCACCCTGACAGATGGAGAGGAATGGGTCAACCTTGCTGCAGGCACCTGCTGACAAGCTGCTGGCTATGGCCTGTGCAGGAGCTGCTGGTATCCCTGAGCTGGTACTGGAGACCCTGCATGTGCCGGGTTCTGGGTGCCCTGCCCTGGAGCAGGGAGAGGATCTAGGGCTTGGGGAGCTTCCGTGAATTGTCAGCAGGGTCATAGGATGCACCCCATGACCGGCTAATTGGTCCCTGAGCACCAAGTTCAGATGCCACCACCCTGGCACTGCTGCCCTGCTCCCTGCCACCCTGCCACACCTTCTTGACCAGGCTGCATGGCATGAGAAACCCTGCCAGCCCCTAGCTATCCCAACCAGCAGCCAGGCCAGGAATAAGTTAGTACTCAGTGCTCAGCCTGGCCTGGTGGTCTCAGTCACTCTGGCCACTTCCTACTAGAGGCAGCCCTCAGGGTCCGTGATCTCATGGTGAGAAAATGCTGTGTCCAAAGGACCTGCCCAGAATGGCTGCCAGCAGGGAGTGGGGTCAAGGGTTTTGGCCATCCCTAAGTCTGGTCAGCCAAGCAGGGTCTGCAAAAACAAACAAAAAGACCCATGCCACCCACTCTTTTCTGTTCAGACTTCCTGTCTCCATCTCTCCCTCTCATTCCCGTGCTGGTGTCCCATTGAAAACCTCTAGTGCAATGCCATCAAGGGGAATCTTCTGCAATGATGAAGATTTTGCCATCTGCGCTGTCCACGTGGGGAGCAGCCTCAGGGGGCTATTGGGTACTTGAAATGTGGCTAGTATGATTGAGGAACTGGGTTTTAATTTAATTTAATTTAATTTTGGACAGCACAACTCTAGGGAATCAATTCCTATGGAAGGGACTAAAAATGGCATTATCATCCTGATGTATGCTCGATGCTACACCAATGGCAAGGTTCTTCCATGTCTGTTGGTCCCTGCTGGGGCCTCACAGCAACCCTGCCAGGTCAGGGCAGGAACTTGAGCCCAAGTCTTCTCATTCTAGAAGTGGGGCTCACTCCATCACTGATCTCCTCCCAGCAGACTAGCAATCAGGCACTGAGGGCTCAGCCAAAAACAATGCCTGATGGTAGAATGTCAGGCACTTGTTTGCTGTATCACCTTGCGCTCCGGGCCTCCCCTGCCACATAGCCTGTTGGTCAAGCTTGACTGATGAAGAGGTTTTAGGAGTGGCATAAGGAGGGGTCATAGGAACCAAAAACTTGTATCTATTTGTAGATAAGGAATATGAATATGTACGGAGGGCATTTATATGCCAGGCACAGTGCTAGGCCTTTATAAATGTTATCTCCTTTACCTTCATAAGGTTGGGTATTATTCTTCCCATTTTGCAGGTAAGGAGACAGAGGCCCAGAGAGGTGATTTGAGTTGTCCAAGGTGATACAGCAAACAAGTGCAGAGCTGGGCTTTGAACCAGGCACTTGGTTCTGAAGCTTCCTCTTCCACTACCACCTGGGTTGGGATGAAGGCCTGACTTAGAAGACGCTCGTGTGAGTCAGGCTGCACTCTGAACTGGGCCCCACTACGTACAAACTCTAGCTAAGGCTTCCCAGGGGCAAAAAGAACACGGCTCCCTTGGCCCTGGCCCTGGTCCCGGGGGAGCCTGCTGCCAGGGCTGGGGCCGCAGACACAGACTGAGTCAAGTAATGGCGGCTGAACAAAGAAATGTGACTATAGTGGCCTGGGTGAGCCAGGCTGGGCCCATCTACCTGGAAAGGCTTCTCTAATGAGGAGAATGGCATCAGCTCAGTGATTCACCTGCATTTGGTGCTTTTAATCATTCAGCATCTCCGAAGGCAGTTTCCTGACCAATTTCTGTTTCAAATATCTGTTGTATGTCACAGGGCACCCCAAAACTCAGGGGCTTAAAACAACAGTCATTTATTCGTTTAGTATTCTGCAGCATGCACAGGGCCTGAAGGAGTTGGCTGCTCTCTGCTCTGAGGGGCATCAGCTGGGGCGGTTCCTCTACTCATCTTGCTGGGACTCCATGTGTGGCTGCCGCTGGCTGGCTGGGGGGGCCGGCTGAGACCTGGGCTGGCTGCTTCTCTCCCCTCGATCAGGGCCACTCCTTCATGTGGCTTCCCCACATGGCCCTCCCAGCAGAGGATTTCTTACCTGAAGCTCAGGGCTCCTAAGAAACTGCAAGTCTTTAACAATGAAGCCTGGAGAGAAGGAACAGCAGTCCTGTCTCCCAGGGCTGTTCTGGGAGGGTGCGGGGCAGAGTGGGCACATATCCCAAGGCCTGGCCTTATCGTCCACAAAACCCGGGATCTAAATCACCAGGCCCAGTCTTCTTCCCTTCTCTCCCCCAATCCCAGGTGGGTGTTGAAGCCCTGATGCTCTGTGTGTGAGCAGTTTTATCATTCAAATCCCCCCACCTGTACAACCCACTCTCCACCTGATTGAACTGCACTCCAGGAAATACACCTTGTGTCTCGGTGCCTCTGCACCCTCTGTGCTCCACCCAGATGCCCTTCGTCCAGTCGTCCATCTGGCCAATCCTCTGCTGGCTCTCCTGACATCTGTCCTGCCCCTGCCCCTACCCCAGAGCCAGCCTTCTCTGCTTTTCCCGGTTGTTCAGAGATGACAGAGGTTTACCTGGAAGGTGGAGGCAGACAGGGCCTGAAGCTTGTAGGGTCTTTCTTAGAGGCTGGAGAAAAAAGCCCTGAAGGGAAGGCTGGCCTTGATAATGGCAGTGGGTCCCTGTGGTCACACAAGGGCTCAGGAGCCAGGCTCCATGGCTCAAATCCCACTTACAACCTAACCTTTCAGTACCTCCATTTTCTCTTCTGCTCAATGAAGATAAAATAGTACTTAGCTCCTAGGTTTGTTGTGAAAGATGAGAAAATTACATGGAAGGCACCTGTGTCCAATTATTGCTCTTACTGCTATTAACATATGCTCCTCACAGATTGAGCCAGACACCTGGCTCCCTCATCACTGGCACTGCCCCTCGGCAGGATAGAAGCAAGGCTGACCCCACTGTGACCTTCAGCCCAGTACTTCCTCCCTCCCCCAGCCCCAAGAGGCCAGCTAGAGCTGCAGTGCGACCTGTCACAGGTGCCCTGTTGCTCAGGTCCCAGTCGTCCCCCATTTCTCTCATCAGTGCCTCCCTGCCAGGACCACAGGCCACAGATTCCGGGCAGTCAGAGATGTCAGCAGGAGGCCAAGGACCTCCGGCAACCTCCTGGCCTCCACTACATGTTACAGAGAAGCACGGGCCCGACACCTTCCCACTCCTGGCTGGGTGCTGCTTTTTCCTGTCTCCCACGAGATCTGCCAAGGGAGCTATTGAATAGGGTGGGGCCCGGGCCCCTTTCCAAAATCTGGTTGGTAGTTCAGTGTTATACCCATACCATTTTTCACAGGCCCTGAGACAAGTTTAGGGAGTACCAGATACGGAGTATGGAATGGGCTTGTCTAGTTAGCCATCAGATATTCTTTTTTCCATTTCACAGTTTTTCCAAGCACCTACTATGTGCCAGCCACTGTTCTAGACACTGATACAGAGAACAGGACTGATAAAAGCAGACCCTGAGAGAAACATGTCTGTGTGTGGGCAGCCACTTTGTGGCCTTGAGTTCTGGGGCCCTGTTTGGTCCCTTTCCCTTACACCCACCTGTGCTGTGTTGGGGCAGAACATAAGCTCTGAACTCTGTTGTCAGAGTCAAGTCCTAGCTTGGCCTCCCTGTCACATAATAGCAAGTTGGCTCAATTCTCTGAGCCTCAGCGTCCCCATCTGTAAAGTGGGAATGCCGTTGGGAGGACCAAGCAAGCAGTACCTGCAAGGGCCCGGCAGTGGGGTAGACACTTCCTGGCATGCCACAAATGGCCTTCATCCACTCTCTGCTGTCATTTGCCATCACCATGGCTCCACCTCCTTGGGCTGGAATCTTGCTCTCCCTTCTAACTTGCTGGGGTTATACACAGCTTTGCTGAAAATGGCCAAGTCGCCTTCTGGACCCTGGAGGATGCTGAAGACTTTTCCTGTGAGCTGTTTGTCCCTGATGCAGGCATCACAGAGGTCTTAAAACTTGAGATCAGAGAAAAAGAGGGGGAGGGTGACAAGAGCCATATATCAGGGGACTGTTTCAACGGTTAACAGGGATTCCTTCCCAGCCAAGGACAGATGGGACCAGCCTCCCAGAGTCCAGATCGATTGAGCACCTGGGGTGGGAGCCAACACAGAGGGTGAGGAATTCATGTGACCCTGTCATCTCCCGCCAGGACACTCCCACGCTCTTTTTCCTGCATCCGGGAAACGAAGTGACAGGTCATTCTGAGGGACAACTGCTGACTGGTCCTTCTGTAACATTTATTTAGAACTGGCAGCCTGCCTCCTTGCAAAGAGGGCTAAGGGACTGCTGATGAGCCAGGCCTTCTGCATTCACGCTGCCATTGAAGCCCCCCAAGAACCCCCATTTTAGTGATGAGGAAACTGAAGCTCAGAGAGGTACAGTAACTTGCTGATGTCACCCAGCTAGTCCAAGGTAGATGAGCCTAAGAAACCCAGTTCCCTTGACTGTTATTTTTTAAACGTAGATATGACAGGACAGAAAAAAAAACATAAAAATGGACTATCAAAGGCAGAGAGAGCAACCGTTCTTAACTTCTGCAAGCACCTTCTAAGAATAGGATATACATAATACATGTATAATGCTGATAAATGTGTTAAACATTTTCCGGAGTGATACGTAAGAAACCATTAATAGTGCCAACCTTTAGGAAGAGAAATTGGCATGGGAGAGGGAGCAATGAGAGAATTTTACTTCTTGTTTTGTGTCTTTCTATAGCATTTGAACTATTTTCCAAATGCATTTAAAAAGCAGAAGCAAGGGGTCATCTGAGAGCTGGTGTTGGATCATTTTTAATTTTATTCTTGATTCTTTTCTGAAATAAAAAAGTGTTTCTTTAGGAAAAAAATTTTGAGAAGCTGATAAAAACTGACTGAATCCCAAGAAAATTTCACGAATACACTTATCAAATAACTAAGAATTCTTTGTAGGGAAGACTGGAGGGAATAACTACATTTAAAAGACAGGCTACTCCTAGATTTTATAACTGAAAGCAGGGTGCGGTTCTCTGATATCTGCATTGAAGCTGTGGTCATCGATAATTAAAAATGGGAAAACAAAAGCCTAGGCTCATGTGGTTTCTGGAACCAAGGAATTCATTTTACTTTGGGCCCTTCACCTTATTTGGAGCCTTGAACACAGCAGATGCTCAGAAAATCCATTGCTTTATGGATAGCTTGCCTCTTATACTCACTGGATCCTGAAGCAGGTGAGTAATCACTGGATCCCAGTCAATACTTGTTCATGGAAACCAATAAAAATGCTATCACTCCCAACCACTATCCCTGAACCCCAGCTACGACCCTAATCCAGGTGGGGACAAGGATGAGGGGGGTCAGTGTGGGGCTGGGCTGTGAGACTCTGAGCTCCCCTCCCCACAAAGGGCATAGATACTCAGCAGTTACCCAGTGTCTGGGAGTGTGAGCACAGGCAGGGCCTTCCTTCCATATTGCCCTTTCCATATCATGCACAGAGAATGTGTGGGCTCAGCCTCATTCATTATTTACTGCCTTTTCCCAGCCTATCCACCCTCCTCCCAACACATGCAGATGTGCAGAGGCCCAGGCTGACACCCTCATTCTCATGTCTCTCCAGGAGCCAGAATCCAACCCCACAGGATTCCTTTCCTCAGACCCAGCAGATGAGAGGCGCCCAGAACACTGTGGGCAGGCCGTTGCCTCCAAGGCAACATGTCTTCACATGACTGTACCATCTTCCTCCAGACAGATGGCTTTTCCGGCTCCCCTCTCTGGCCAGAGCCCGGTGTCCACCCCATCACCCAGGCCCAGGCCCCCAGTTTCCACTGCCCATATCCAGTCTGTAGTCACCAGGTGTCAGATGAGCATTTCTTCCACCAGGCCTGCCTTTGCATCCCTCCCCGCTAACCTCACCTGCAGACCCTCACCAGGCACCCATCACCTCATGGCTGGACTATTACAGCAGGCTCCTAACGAGCCTTCCTGCTTCCAGACCCTCCAGCCTGCATGGGGATGCTGAATGAATCAGGGTAGAGCACCTTCTTCATCCATGCCTGGTCCTGCCCTGAACACCTGAGAGCCTCCTGTCGCCTTCAGGGAGGGGTCTCACTAGCTCACCAGCATCCATTAACTTAACCAGTACCTATTATCACACTCACTCTGGACCATGTACTGTGCGTTCTAAGTGCTTTGCAAATATGGACTCATTTAAGCCATATAAAATGAGGTTTGTACTCTTATTCCTGTTATGAAGATGGGGAAACAGAGGCCTAGAGAAGTAAATTTGTCTGAGGTCATATCATTAGTAAGTGACAGAACCCAAACTTGAATCTGACCAGTGTAGCTCTAAAGTCCTCCTTCCTGTCTTTGAGCATTTGTGGCTAAAACGCTCTGTACCACTACCCTGGCTACCTTTCTGTTGGCTAGGTGTCCTCACTTTTACAAGCTTCTCTTCCAACCCTGGAATCCAGTCAAACTGATTTGAGCATGACCATCCTCTAATCCTTTCCTTCCCACGAGGACTCCTTTGCTCTGTGTTCCTCCTACTTGGAATGTCTCCCCATCCCCTGCTTTCCATCTAGTTCTTACTCCCACCAAGGCTAATAAGCTCTAGCCATTCCCTGATGCCCAGCCCTCTGGCCTCTGTGGTCCTCCACACTGCCCGGTACTGCCCCTCAGCATCCCCCTGGTGCTCGTCCACAGTCTGTATTGCCCTCCCTCTAGTGCGGTCCATATAGGTTCTATCTTCCCAGCTCCTCAAGGACAAAGAGAAAGCATGTCACAACTGCCACTTATCTCCCTCCCATCATAGCCTGTTGCCCCAGGGAGCTGGAGTAACTGGTGAAACTGGACCACTGAGGAATGGGAGGGCCTGAGCTTCCTGGAGGGGGAGAACATGCTCCTACTCATCAGTTCCTGCAAGGGGAGAAAGGGAGGCACTAAGGTCTGGCCCCTGACCATCCCTCCCACCTCCTGATCTCCGCCTTGCCCTCCTCACAAACCTCCCAGCACCCCAGCCTCCTCATTCCTTCCTGGGGTATCTGCAGGACGCTTTTCCGAGGGTGCTGCAGGGCTGAATTCTTCTAGTGTTCCGCAGCCTAACCCCAGAGGCACCTCTTCGAAGCTTTCTGGACCACTCTGTCCCATGTGGCCTGCCTCCTTCCCTCTCTCGCCATTGCCCTGCTTTATTTTTCTTTCTAGGACATATCAGGTTCCAAAGCTATTTACAGTTTGCTTGTTTGTTGTCTCTGCGCCACCCCCCAACTTAGACAGGTCTCGCTTGTCCACCTCTGAATTCCAGCAACTTGTGCAGGCCTGGCACACGGTAGGCCATCAGTAACTGTTTACTAAACGAAAGAATGAATGGAAGGCCAAATGAGTGAAACTTGTGGACCACCACCATCACGGGCCTGCGCCTCTTCCACCCCTCTTTGGTTGGGAAAGACCATCTGTGTAAACACAAACCTCACTCCGATGAGGGGTTGTGGGCAGAGCTGGAGAAGTCAGGACAGGGACTGGGGATGAGGCTGGTGGTCATGGTGTCCAGTTTGCCTCTTAATGGGGATGGGCTGCAAGAATCCTTTTTTGGTTTCCACCTTGATGCAAATCTGTAAAATGTGTAGGTCATTTTTACCAGTGTGGTAGCCAAATAAGTTTAATGTAGGAAAAACTTCTTTAACTATTTTCTTACTGGACTCTCATCTAAGCCCTCACAAGTAAGTGGGAATCTGTTTTAACAGAAGATGAAATTGAGGTTCAAAGATATTAAACTACTCATCACAAAGTACTCAGTCCCGAGTTCTTATCCTAGACTGGAACATTACTGAATGCTGTTTGACCTCAGTCTTTTGGTGGAGGGGGAGATCATTTGTACAGAGGAGACCCTAAGGAGAGGGGGTGTTGTTTCTATTTAACCCTTATTGAGTATTTCTATGTGTCAGGCACTTTTCTGAGACACATTGTAGAAACTGATTTAATCCTGATACTGCTGATACTGTCCCCAGTGAAAAAGGAGTAACTGCAATCCTCAGTTAATGGGTAAGGGAACTGGGACACAGGGAGGTTAAGTAATTTGCCTGTAGACACACAGCCAGTGAGTGGCTGTGGCAGCAATAGTAATTCTTTCCAAACATTCCATGTGCATCCCTTTGTTTCCCACCCTCTTCCTGTGAGGCTGGGCTGTGACTAGTTCTAGCCAGTGAAATATGAATGGAAAGGAAGTCTGTCGCTTCCAATGGAGATGGTGAAAAGTCCACACGGTTCCACAGTCTCTCTCCTCCCCCGACATGCGAAGTGCAAGATGTGCCTGTGTAGATGGTGCAGCTGCAAGAGGGGGCACGTCAGCCACCTGGATCCCTAAGTGTCTGTGCGGGGCAGAGTCCCTCAGTGTCCACATGGGGCATGCAGCCTGAGAAAAGAAGAAACAGACTTTTATTATATTAACCACAGATATCTTGGGATTGTCTATTACCATGCGTCTCCTAGCCTATCCTGACAAACACAGTCATGGGATCAGGTCTGGACCCCCAGCATTGTCTTAATCATGAATTGCAAAGGTCAACCCTTAGGGCATCTGGGTATGTATCTTAGCTAGTAATGCCCACCAGAATCCTCAGAACAAGGAAGAACAAGGGAGGTCATTTTTCTCCCCTTCACTCCCCAAATATGGAAAGGACATATCTCATGGAGACCCTGGGTTTCTTAATGCCGTCATTAGTCACCCTGCTCTGTCCATTTGGTTCTGGTGAAGCCCAGGACCCACCCTGGCCAAGGAGAATGTCAAGTCCTCCTAGTGCACAAGCAGGCACACAACTCCAGTTGGTGCAGATGGGAAAATCCCAGGACTTGTGGAGGATTTACCAGAACAAGGAGCACTCTCTCTTCTGCTGATCCTTGGGGGTGTACGCCTGAGCTGATGGCCATTTTGCTACCCTGTGGAACCTAAGAATAAAGCTAATATGGGGTGAGTGCTGAGCTGAAGACAAGACCTGTTGGTGCCATTTGAACCACGGGTTCCAGCAATGTCTGAGATCAACTCTACTCAAGGTCTGGTATTGATCAAGACAGTTTGAAGAGGAGCAGCAGAATTCTGCTGCTCCATGCATCCCTCTCCCATGCATCCCACTTGCAACCAAAAGAGTTCTCAGTGGGATGTCTGTCCCATCTGCCTCAGCTGTGCTGCAGCGCACTGTGTGTTCTGAATGGAGGCAAAGAGACAGACACCTTGGGGCCTGGGCGGCCAGGAGCAGAGGGCACCATTAATAGAAGTTTGGAAGAGAGGATGGACTTGGGCGGAGTAGGGCTGAGTTGTGGGTTGGGATGCCCGCATGGAGATGCCCAGCAGGCAGGGGAGGAAGTGTGGGAGCTGGTCTGGAAGGTGATGGAGCCTCTGATCCAGATATGGCAGGTGGGAGGTGGGAGCTGAGTGTGTGGGAGGACAAACGATCATGGTGGGTGGAGTGAGGAGGGGGTCAGAAAGAGGTCAGAGAAGAGAGTGGAGCCGGCCCTCGGGGGCATGGGGATCCTCCTGCAATAGGAGGAAGAGTCAGGCGTAAAGGGCCATCAAGGAGTGGAAGGTGCTGTGGCCTGGGGTAGGCTCCTGAGCCACTCTCTCCCTCAGCTCCTCTTTCTGTTCAGTGGCTTCCTGGGATCCCTGTGGTGTGCTGTGGTGAGGATGGAGAATGCTTGGCAAGCTCTTCTCTGAGTGCCAGAGCTCAACAAATGTGAGCTGATATTAGCCAAACAGGAGAATGGAGGAGGTAGATACCCAGTGTGGGTATGAAGAAAGGAGTTCCAGAAGGGGCTGCTTCCTGGCTAGCATGCCCCAAACACACACTCACAGCCAGTTGTGCTGAGATTGCCTGTTGCCACCTCCCTGTCTCCATGCCACTGGGAGCCCTTCGAGTGGGAGCTGGGACTCATTCCCTGGGCACCCAGTGAGTGCCCGCTGAGTGGTAGAGGAAGGGCCAAGGACCAGCCTTTCTGCTGCCTTCTACAGGGGCAGAGGAGAGGCCCCAGAAGGTGCTGAGTCTCATAAGAAGTCACTGGTGACTGTTGGTGGCTGGACTCCACAGGGTTGACTGGGATCTGCTGCTGTTCCATGCATCCCTCTCCTCCAAGTCACTGCCCACCTCATCTGCACCCCAGCAGATAGAAGGAAGTGGGGGACAGGGAAGTATCAGGATGCATCCCTCAGAATTTCCCAAGGGCAGACCTGACTCCCTTTCTCAGGCCCAGACCTGTCACCAGCTCGCAGGCAGCCAAGGCTGCCGCACCTCTGTTTGGGAGGGGCTCTTATCGCAGATTTTGCTAGATTTTGGCCCCTTTGACCCTCTTTCCTCACTCCTGGAACAATCTCCCAGCCAAAGATGCTCCAAACAGCAGCTTAACTCCTCCACAGGAGTGCCACACATACAAGCCCCTCTATGGTGGCAGTCGCTGGTGGCAGCCAGGGCACTTCCCCCAGAGTGAGTCCCCAGGGAACCTGTATCTTTATTACACCCGCTGAGGCCTAAGGAGAGATGTGGGAGGGCTAATCTGATGTGAGCAGGGGTGAAGAGGCCAAGCAGAACCCACTGCTCTTGATCCCTACCTTGCACAACCTCGCTCACCCTGAGGCCCCGCATTCCATCCTTGGGGTTTAATTCACCTGGGTAGTCAGTCTTCCCTGAAGCCGAAAATGCCCCCAGAGTGGGACACATTCACTGTGGGGAAAACAAACCCCACAGCTGAGTCCCTGTGGAAACAGTGAGAACTGGGACTTCGAGGGGAGATGCAGAAAGAGACAGGAGTGGAAAAATACCGCAGAAAACCTCTCCCTCCTCCACAGCTTTGTGCCCAATATGGGACGTGGAGGAGAGCTTCCTCCTTCTCCCCTCAGCTGCACACTTACTGGGCACTCCTGCTATTCCACTTGCTGGGCCAGGGGCCAGGGCACAGGTTTGCTCAATCAAGTTCCTTGAGGGGAGGGTGGGTGAGACCCGCTCTCTTAGTGCCTAAGAGATGCAGAGCCTGGGAAAGAGTGGCAGGGACTCTCCGGGGCTGCAGAATCCTCCCCTACCTTTGCAGCCCCGCCTTCTATGTCAGTGCAGAGAAGCACAGGAGGATCAGAGTCCCAGGTAGGCTGATGACCAGGGAGATGTGGAAGAAGCCACCCAGTCCTCTCAATCCTCCAGTCCCTGGAATGGGGCAGGGTGATCTCTGGGGTCCTTCTAGCTGAGATGATCAGAATTCCAATGCAATACACCTCTTTGTCCTAACCCCTGAGAGGGAACTTCTCCCTTCTCCCTGCCCCTGAGTGACTCCCAGGGGCACTCTCCTCTCTCCTCACGTCCACACAGGAGAGGGGACGAGCTTTGTTACCACCAAGAAGCAGCTGGTCAGCTGCAGAGCCCGGGATCTGACCCTCCCCACTGCTGGAGATTCTTACAGAGGGCACATGTAAGGGGAGAGCCAGTCCATGGGTTTTGTGAGCTTTTCAAAGGGATCTAAACCCCAGAATATCAAGAGCCTTTCTTTGAAAAGCTTTTAACTTATTTAATACACAATTCACACTTGAATACATTCTCACTGGGAAAAGTCAAACCATAGCATAGCTCTGGAAAAGCCCTCCTGTGATGCCCGTAGCGCTGGACCCCAGCAGCCCCAGTTGTAAGCACTGTTTGGGGTTTGTCCTTCGAGGGCTCTGTACATGTACAGTAGAAGTACACAGTTTGAGCATTCTTACATAAACAGGGTAATAGTGGGTGTTAATGCTTCAACTCCCCACCCCCTCATTTGATAGCCCATCTTAGAGATCAATCACAGGCTCTGGACCTCTTCTCAACAGTGTGGTAGCTACTGGGAAGAGAGAAAAACACCTGTCACACCAGCTCAGGGCATTCCCCTTTCCTTGGGCCCTCCACATCCCCCAGGCATGCCTCCCCTACCCCAGCGTGTAAGGTGCACAAAAATGCACGTACACACACACTCTTTCTCCCTACGGTCTGATTTGAGGAACCTCTCCCCAGTCCTTGCCCAGCATAGCAACCCCAAGCTCCCAAGCATTAGGGTGTTGAGCAGCTGGGGTCCCCTTTGGAGGAACAGCTCTGAGGAGGCATTCCTGGACCCTGAGAGGCCTCCCTGGGGCCTGAGGGCAGATGGGTGCTGGAAGGATGCGTCACCATTGAAAGGTGTGTGTGTCTGTGCTTACACTTATCCTGGGTGGGAGTCCAAAGACTTTCCTTAGATTTCCAAACGCCTCTGAACCCCAAAAAGGATTAAAACCGTATTTGTAAGTTGATTGCCTCTTAATAGGGAAGAGCATGTCAGTAAAAACATTTCCTGCCTTTCTAGAGCATCTTCTAATTTACTGCCACAGGCTCAGTCAGGCTTGGGAAAATGGACACCTTCCCCTCCTCGTAGGGAAGTAGCACAGGAAGGCGGAGGAAGAGCTTAAGAGACGGCAGTGGGTGAGGAAGGCAAGCAACCCAGGTGTTCTGGGGTGACCAGTGTACCCCCAACATCCATGTCCTTCCTGGAACCAGAGAATGGGACCTTATTTGGAAATAGGGTCCTTGCAGATAGAATGAAGGTAAGGTGGGGTTGTAGTGGAACAGGATGGCCCTAATCCAATTTGACCAGTGTCCTTACGCCATTAGGAGAACAGACCCAGAAGTGGCAGGGGGCAGTGACACATCTTCAAGTCAGGAACTCACAGGCTTGCTGGCAACCACCAGAAGCTAGGAGGGAGGCACGAAACAGAGTCTCCCCCAGGAACCAGCACGGTGACACCTTCTTTGGGAATTCTAGCCTCAGAATGGTGAGGGAATACATTTCTGTTGTTTAAGCCACCCAGTTTGCAGTATTCTGTTATGGCAGCCCTGGGACTCAAATGCACCAAGATAGGGGTAACAAAAGCAGAGTTCAACAATAACTTCGGGGTACCCTGAAGCCTCCCCAGAATCCCTGACTCTCAGTAACTGAGAAGGCCCGGCCTCTTTGGGTCACGGAGTCTGCATGGTGTCCCACACTAGCTAGGCTGTGCTCGCTCAGGCGTGCAGGTAGCTCTCAGCCTGGAGAGATTTCTCCTAATAAATAGCCAAATCAAACACATGTTCCCCTCCAAGCCCCCAAGGCACCTGCCACTTGGCAGTAAGAGGGCATCAGCCCAGTTTCTGGCTGGCAGCGCTGACAGGCGCCCATCTGCTCCGGAAGTGCCCAGCCTAGATAAACAGCTAGGCTCTGCCTCCCACGGCTGGGCCGGCGGGGCCAGGCATGCTGCGCAGGGGAGCTGGGTCCCGGGCCTCAGGCCTCCCATGGTCGGTCACTTTCCACCCCTACCTGGTCATGCTGGCCGCCCCAGTAGAAACAGGTGTCCTTGGAAAACAGGAGGGAAGCCATGGGAAAGGAAGGCTTGGGACTTGTGTAGGACTCAGTCCACCTCCCAGGTTACCTCCTTGAATTCCTTCCTGCTGGGCCCAGGGTCACTGCCCCCTCCCATCCGCCCTTCCCTCCTCACTCACGCCCACATAAAGCCATCTGCCACCCTGGCCCCCTGGCAGGCACCACAGCCTTATGACTCAGAGCCCAGCCCTGAGGCTGCTCTGTGGGTGGTTGCTCCTGAACATTGGTGGGGAGGGAGGTGCTGGGAAGGGGACCTGAATGGGGGTAGGGTCAGGGGAGAAGACACATGCAGACCCCAGGTGGCCTTTCCCAGAGCACCAAACCCTGACAACACTGCCTTCATCTATTTTTTAAAGGCTACCAACTCTTCAGCAGAGGCGTTGCCCAAAATGTAGTGCTTTAATTAAAATGCACTTAATTCAGTTCCTTTTTTGCCTGAGGGCTCCACAACCTGTTCTGTGGAACCCTGACCCTAGGCCAGGGACCTGTTTCTCTAGTGTATTCCACCTTACCTCTTCATTTGTCACCCCCAAACTCTTGCAGCCCCTGGAACAGTATATTCACTCCTACAGGCCCTTGAGTAGATAAATTCCCACAAATTTTATTAGAGATTTCAGGTCATCTCCCTGCAGACTTTGAGCAAAGGGCTTGGCCCTGAGGGCTTATCCCAAACGACTAGCAGCAGTAGTGACTGGTAGGTGTCATGCTGAGGAAAGAAGTGAATGAGGGCAGAGAATGTCACCCCTACCTGCGGCCGGGCCGAAGAGGAGCTGGCCCTCACCCTACCCTGGGCATCTTGAAAATGTGGCTCCAGATCTGGTTCTGAATCAGGCGCTCTTTACATGTGCTGCCTTTACTCAAGGGGGCTTAGCCCCTGCAACTTGGCTCTGAAGGAAAATCCTGTTGCACAGCTGTAAGACTGGGATTTGATGCCCCCAGAGGGTGAAAATAGGGCTGGAGGATCCAGGATCCAGGCCCAGAAGACCTTAATTCCCAGCCTGAGGAAGCCTGTTTCTTGGGCAGCTGTCTGCTCACTCCCACCGACCACTCTTCCAGAGAGCCCATCCTCCCCCATCACCTCTTGTAAACTGCATGGAAGTTTAGCCACCTTGTCTCAAAGCTGAGAGGACGTCCTCGGCATTTGGTCCTGGCTCTCCAGTACTGGCAGTTCCTTGGGATGTCTCGGGATCTCCTGCAGAGCGACCCTTCTCCCCAGCCCTGTGCCCTTCAAAACAAGCCTGCAGCCCCCTTTCATTTCATAGCCGTTGTTTTCTGCTGATAGCCACAAGGAAACAGATCACACCTTGCAAGAGAAAAGAATCCTGGGCAGCTTCCAGAAACCTCAAAATTCTAGCAGGGAGAGTCTTAATGTGTTTGCATCCCAGCTTTCCAGCTACACAATGAACTTGAGCAAGACACACTCTCTGTGCCTCAGTTTCCTCAACTCCAAGAGGGGGATAACAAGAGTACCTGCCTTAAAGGGCTGCTGTGAAGGTTCAATGAGGCAGAGAATTGTGAAAATGCTCAAATGGAGATATCTGGCTCCTTCCCTCAGGGAAGCATACACAGTCTAGCAACATAAATGTCATAATTAATAATTTGTGCTAACACAGGGGGCCTCAGACATTGTCTGAGGGTTTGCCTACACTACCACCCTTAAGTCTGAGATCTTTTACCCGGTCTTTCTTCTCACATTCTTTTTCTAGAGACACTCCAAGGTCTGGGGAGGTGCGTCTTGCCTCCCCTGGGCAGTGGGATATTTTCCAGGCCAGCCCTCTCTGCAGGGAAAATCTCCCAGGAACACGTGCTGCTTCCCGGAGCAGGAGGTGGGCAGAAAACAACCCCAGCTGGAAAATCAGTTTGTATTTCTGCACAAATTCTTTAGAATAATAGACTTGTAGAAAAAAAAAAAAAAAACCCCTCTCAGAGACCAGCTCTGCTTGGCCCTGGTACTCCTAGCCTGCCCCACTGCACAGCTGCATAAATTGTGATTTTTCCCAAGGCCACACAGCAAGTAAGCAGCAGAGATTCCACCAACGTCGAGCACCTGCAACATGCCGGGTACTGCATCCCTCCATTTGGTAAACACCCCTGGTGCCCACACCATGCTCCAGGCATTGGTCAGAGTGCAGGGGACACAGGGACAGGGAATGGCATTGAGATTCTACGGAAAGGGATCATCCCCCAAACAGGTCAAAAAGGTCATTGCTGAGACTGATAAATACTATTTAGAAAATAAATCTGGGCGTGGAGCACAGTGATGGGTAGATTTAGGGGATGGGCACCCTCTTTACCTAGAGTAGTCAGGGAGGCCTCGGAAAGTCACACTGAGCAGAGAACTGAGTGATGAGACAGGTCTGTGAAGAGCTGGAAGAAGCCTCAAGCTGGAGGAGAGAGCAAATGCAGAGGCCCTGGGGCAGGAATAGGCTCGGGCTATTCAAGAAACAGGAAGAAGGCCACCGTGTCTGGAGCAGTTAGGAGGGAGGAGCAGTGGGGGAGGCAGGAAGGAGAGGGAGGCAAGGGCACATCCTGCTGGGCCTCCTGGCCACAGGGATGAGTGGATTTTATTCTAATGGCAACCGGAAGCCATAGGAAGGCTTTTAAGCATGTCAATGACCCTTGTGACTTATCATTTAGAAAGATCACTCAGGCAGCTGTGGGAAGAATGGACTGAAGGGGAAAAGTGGCTGAGCAAGCTCCAGTGGCCCAGCCTGCCATGCCAGCTGTGGGGGAGGGGGAAGGAAAGGCAAGTAGCTTGATCCCAACACCTGTGAAGCACTGCGCTCTGGGCCTGGCACCAAGTGATGCTCAACATAGAGTCGGGAACCAAGAAGAAGGGGGTGCTGGTGGCTAGATGTGTGGCCAGCATTAGGAGAGGCAGTGACAGGGTATTGGGGAGGCCACCTTCCCTGGGCCTAAGGCCTCAGGAGACCAGCAGCCCTGGGGTGGGAGCGGTCAAAGGCACACTCTGGGACCTCACATCCTTCTTTCAGTTCCCTAATGGGCATGTCTTTCCATTCTTAAAATGTCATTGTCAGAGCCACTATCTGTGACATGTCAGTGTTCCAGAAATAAAAGCCTGAAGTACTTAGAATAAAAACAGTTTATAGTCATTTTTATATTTCCAAATGTTGTTTAACTTGTACATACATGATAAAAATTTCAGAGTACAAGAGCACACAGCAAGAGATAACTCTCCCTCCACGTCATCCTTGTCCCTAGAAAATATTCTGTTATCTGTTCATTTTCATTTTGTCCAGAAATATTCTCAGCATATGCACACATGTATATCACATATCCTACTTTTAAACATGGAGAGAGATCATATACTGTTTCTTACCTTTTTTCCACCAAACAATATTTCTTGAAGATCATTTCATATCAGTCCATGAATCGTTATTTCACTGTTTTTAGTGGCTGCATAGTATACCATTGCACAGTGTATCATACAGAAAAGTAAGTATTTAGATAGTGTCCAGGTTTGGGCTAATTTGAACAATGTCACAACAAATGACTTCATGTATAGGTCTTGGTATTTTTGTTGGATAAATTCCTAGGAGTGGAATTTCTAGCTCAAAGGATAACTACATTTTTCTGCTTAGATGAATATTGACAACTTGCTTTTTGGAGCAGTTGGACCAACTCACCCCCAACACCCACCCCCAGCTAACCCTGACAGCACCCCCTTTGCAATGTCCACACAAGGCACTGTCCCAATGTGTAACCGTTGCTAATCTCAGGACCTCTGACAATTTGCACGTACTGAGTGTAAGTCCACCTTCATGGATGTGGCGGTGTTATCACCTCCACTCTGCAGATTAGAGAGCTGTTTTACCTGCCTCCGGTCAAAGCCAGTATCCCAGAAGAACCACAAAGAAGGCAGAAACCACAGCCAGGAACAGTGTAGACAAGGCCAGGGGTGGGGAAACAGGACAAGCAAGGCAGGGGTTGCCTCCACAGGCACTCAGGCTCTGCTAATCAAGATGGGGGAAAGGGACGCATGGATCAAACCAAGAGAACGGTCAGTGGTCAGGCCTATAAAGCCACTTCACCAGGACCAGTTCTGCCTCTTCTGCACTCCCTCTGAGCCAGCCTAAGGCTCAGATGTGGGCGTCGATGAGCCATATTAGGGCCATGGGAAGTAGGTCAGTTGCTGGAGGAGTAGGGAATTTAGGAGCGGAGATAAGAGTGTATGTTGACATCTGGGACTAAATCCCCAAGTTTCCTTTATTCCCACCATAAACAAATTAGTGACTGTAAAGCAGGAAAATGCAGGCTCTATTAAAATTGAGAGAGAGAGAGAGAGGTGTCAATAAACCACAGTAGCCAAATGTACTTAATTTAGCATCACTCTCTAAGCCTGTTTGGGAGCCTCTTGACTGCTGATTCTTTAATGGGCTCCACTTCCGTGGACTCAAAGGTAATGGAATCAACTTCAGCAAAAACAATGTCTAAATAAAGAAATGCAATCAGAGCTGTTGACCTTCAACAAAAAACTCTTCTTGTAGGCCTTTGACTTGAAGTGAGGAATGTGTGCTGGAGAGGGGTGTGTGTGTCTGTGTGTGTGTGTGTGTGAGAGATTATGAATTTCAGGTGTGGCCAAAAACAGTGAAAAAGTTCTACATGTTACTAAGGCTTGGATATTTAAAAACAACTTTCAAGAGAAAGGAGTAAGGAGAGTAGGGTAACCTGGCTGTTTTGAAACTGACATGAGGGCCAATTTGAGTGTAGGTGATATTAGACACAGACAGGATTCCCAAAGGTATGGGCTTTCAAAGCTCCTCTCCCAGGCTCATGGCACATGCTCAAGCAGGAATCTGAAAAGCCTCCTATGGAGTGGACACCCAGCTGGACAGCAGGCCCACACTAGAAGTTTGCATGCAAAGAGAGAGGGCCTGCTGAGCACTGAGGGTCAGAGTCAGGCAATCCTGAAGGCCTCCGTGGGGCCCCAGGGCACTAGCCCAGGGAAGCCCAGAGTGTGGTTTGTGGCTGGCACTGACCCTCTGAGATAGTGCAGCTTCTGACTGTTTCCCTTTTTTGGATGACGGTGGCCTTTACTCCT